ATGTTGGATCTTAAACCACTCTCTAACATTTTCGTTCACCTCCGTCTCGAGCAAAGTTGTATTTAGGAATACGTTGAATTTGTCGCGTAATATGTAGAAATTCGACGACCATTAATGTGGTCGCTGATACACATTTTCGCGACCACGAATGAGCTGATCGTGAAAACTCAATCTTTTCGCGCGACCATTTATAGTGGTCGTGGAATCTTTCATTTTCAGCGACCATTGTAGAAAAGTGGTCGCATTTACCGACGGCGTATATGCGACCACTCTGGCGACGAAATAAAATGGTCGCAGAATAATAAGGCCACCACTTTTCTTTTATACACGGCCATTTTTTATGGTCGCAAAATAACCTTTTTCTTGTAGTGTGAATTCATAATCCGAACAGATGCAGTACTCATACAGTGGCGGAGGGAGGTGGAGAGAAGGACCCCACTTTATAAAAATTGAGGCACCAAAATCCTTTAAATACATGGGCTTAGTATGATATTTCAAGTTTAGGACCCCGTACTTCTTGTTGATGTTAGCTCCACCCCCAATCAACACAAAATACATTAGATAAATAAATTTTAGTCTTATTGAATTTTTCAGTACCCCAATGCATTCAAAGTCTGCACACGTCACTGCACTCATAGGTGTAAATCCTTTTTGTTTAGGTCAGTCGTGGAAAGTTATGAGTAAAGCACAAGCTAGTTGACCTAACCTAACCATCAATTGGTTTGGACCTACAATTAGAAGGATGATTAAAAATTAAAATAGAAGTGGGCTTGGGCTGGTGTTGGGTCTGGACCATTAAGAAGCCCGCATAGAGAAAAGAAACAGTCCCGCAATGATAAATCGACCCACGGTGAAATTGATAATAAAAAATAAAAAAAAATTCTGCATCTTTCAAACTTCCTCGGTACAGGAGGCGGCTTCTTCTGCCTCCAAAACAGAGCGCCGTCCCTTCTCTTTCAAACTTCGCCGATGGACGGAAACCATGCCTTCCGATCACCCACTCACTCCGGCCGCCGTTAAACGCCACTCCTCAAAGCTATGAAACTTCCATACTCTGGCGAATATGAACTGTCCCAACACTGTTGGCGCAGTTGCAAGCCGATACGCTTTCCTTCTCCAGCAGCTCTGCTCTCCTCGCCAAACCCCGCTCTCTGCCTACCTCGCCCGGACCGTCCATGCCCACGCAGTGGCTTCCGGATTCAACCTGCGAGGCCCCATCTTGAACCGCCTGATCGATATCTACTGCAAGTCCGGCCGGCTACGGCATGCCCGCCTACTGTTCGACGAAATTCCTTACCCGGACATAGTGGCCAGAACGACGATGGTCACTGCCTACTCTGCTACCGGAAACGTTAACCTCGCGAGGGAGGTGTTCGGTGGAACTCCCAAGGGGATGCGCGATACGGTGTTCTACAACGCGATGATCACGGCTCATTCTCATGACAATGATGGCAATGCTGCCATCCGGCTGTTCTGTGAGATGCAGAGGGACGGTTTCCGGCCTGATAATTTCACTTTTACGAGTGTTATCTCTGCGGTGGGGCTTGTTGCAGAGAGCGAGAAGCACTGCCAGCAGTTGCATTGTGTGGTTGTCAAGTCGGGAACTGGGTTTGTTACTTCGGTGTTGAATGCGCTTGTGTCTGCTTATGTGAAGGTTGCATTGTCTCCTTTGGTGGCGCTACCGAAGTCGGTGATGGGTTCGGCTAGACTGTTGTTTGATGAAATGCCCGTGAAGGATGAGTTGTCGTGGACGACAATGATCACTGGTTATGTGAAGAATGATGACCTTGATGAAGCGAGGGAGTTGTTTGATGGGATGGCGGAGAAATTGGTGGTTGCTTGGAATGCGATGATTTCAGGTTATGTTCATAGAGGGTTGTTGCAGGAAGCTCTCAAGATGTTTAAGAAGATGTATTTATCTGGAGTTCAATTTGATGAGTTTACATACACAAGCATCATAAGTGCATGCGCCAATGCTAGTTTCCTTCTTCTCGGCAGGCAGATACATGCTTACATACTCATCTCAGGGCCTAAACCTAAACCAGGGTTGCATTTGCCCGTGAATAATGCACTGCTCACTTTATATTCAAAATGTGCTAAACTTGATGATGCCCGACTCGTATTCAATAAGATGCGGGTGAAAGACCTGGTATCATGGAATGCGATGTTGTCAAGCTACGTCAATAGTGGTCACATGAATGAAGCTAAGGAAATCTTCCAGGAGATGCCAGAAAAGAACCTTCTGACATGGGCTGTGATGATAGCAGGGTTAGCACAGAATGGACTTGGTGAAGAGAGTTTGAAGCTATTCAACCTGATGAAACTACAAGGTTTTCAACCATGTGATTATGCATTTGCTGGAGCTATTACTTCATGTGCTGCACTTGGATCATTGAAGTCTGGACGCCAGCTCCATTCTCAACTCATCCGGCTCGGTTTTGAGTGTAGCCTTTCTGCGGGTAATGCACTGATTACCATGTATGGAAGATGTGGCGTTGTAGGGGATGCACGGAATCTATTCCTCACCATGTCATTTGTAGATTCAGTTTCATGGAATGCGATGATTGCTGCCCTGGGCCAGCATGGGCATGGTGTGCAAGCTGTTGAACTTTTCGAAGAGATGCTGAAGGAAGGTATATTGCCTGATCGCATTACCTTCCTGACAGTTCTCTCTGCTTGCAGCCACGCGGGTTTAGTCGAGGAAGGGCATCGATATTTTGACACAATGCACGATATTTATGGCATTACCCCAGGTGAGGATCATTATGCCCGCATGGTTGATCTGCTCTGCCGGGCTGGAAAGTTCTCAGATGCAAATGATATGATAGGAAAAATGCCCTTTCAGCCCGGCCCACAGATATGGGAAGCTTTCCTTGCAGGTTGTCGGAATCATGGGAACATGGAATTGGGAATCCAAGCTGCTGAGCGGCTCTTTGAGATGATCCCTCAAAACGATGGAACCTATATCCTTCTGTCAAATATGTATGCTGCAAAGGGGCTTTGGGATAATGTGTCGAGAGTTAGGAAGCTGATGAGAGACCAAGGGGTTAAAAAGGAGCCTGCATGTAGCTGGGTTGAAGCCGAAAACAAGTTCCACGTATTCATGGTCGATGACACTGCACATCCTGAAGTTAATGCTGTCTACAGTTATCTGAAGCAGCTCGTCTTGGAAATGAGGAAGTTAGGGTACGTGCCAGACACAAGATTCGTTTTGCATGATATGGAATCTGACCAAAAGGAGCATGCTATTTCTACTCACAGTGAGAAACTTGCAGTTGCTTTTGGGCTCCTGAAACTTCCACGAGGAGCCACTGTTAGAGTGTTCAAGAACCTAAGGATATGTGGTGATTGCCACAATGCTATCAAATATATTTCAAAAGTTGTGGGGAGAGAGATTGTGGTGAGAGATGGGAAGAGGTTTCATCACTTCAAGGATGGTGAATGCTCTTGCAGAAATTACTGGTAGTAAATGTTTGTTCCCAGAAAGTACAAGTTTCTGCACTAGGATTAGCAGATGTGTCTGCTGCTGTAGTGCATGCAATCGGGGCATCTAATGGCAGATAATTCCTTCTCCACGCCCGTTGGTTTCCTTCAGCAATTCATGTTTTGCGGGTGAGAAGTTATCGATATCCATTCTAGTTTCCTCGGTTATCCAGAGTTTGCCCTCAACCCTGCAGCATTTTCATGTAAAATTATCCCACTGGCTCCATATTGAGAGCCTTTTCTTTCAGTGGAAGCTACAAGGAATCTATCGGATGTTCAGGCCCTGCCCAATAAGTTGTGGATTTTAAGGTAATACCTCAAGGTCTTGTTGCTTAACTTCAACTACTTAATGCTTAGTTAGATGTGTTAGCCATATGTCATGCCTCTTTATGCATAGTGATGTATACATGTGCTGTGTTACTTGTACAGAGAACCACAGCTTATATGTCTTGAGATTGCGATGCGCCTACTGCCAAGGCACAGAGGCTCGCTTGATGAGGCATACTGTGATGTTTAATCAGGACTGAGATGGCAATTGGCATCAGAGTCCTTCACTGGGGGCATTGCCAAATCCTCGCAAGTTTAAACATCCTCCAGGAGTGGGTCTGAATCACCTGGAGGAAAGTTAGACTGTGGTTGGGGGAAGGATACACCAGTCCGGGGTGCATTTGCGAGATGATCCTCCCGCTTCTTTATCTCGACGAAGAAATGCTGATGAGTCATGGACAGATGAAGAATACACCCATCCGCGGAGCGTTTCGAACTGTTACTTGGTAATCTCTGCTTCACACCTACCATCCGAAGCCCGTGTCTTACCCTGGACGACCGTCATGCTTCTGCAGCTGTGTAGCTGAAACAGTCTTGCGCAAGGTTGGTTGCTGCTCTTTAGATTGGGCAAAGAAGGCCTGGAGGTTGGTGCGTATACTCTCAAGGACTAGCTTACATTTTTCCAGGGTGCTTGAGGATTGTAGAACTCCCTTGTGTTTGTCATTTATTCATGCCACTCATTTTGAATTTCTGTACCTGCCACATTTTTTTTAGGGTAGAAGCTAGCCACATTGTTGTAGCGGATTGACCAGCAAAATTCTTGTAATTTCTCCTCTATGATAGATCTTTGTGTTAAGAGTCTTTTGATTAGCATTTGTTATCCTTTTCAAATCACTTGTAAGTCGGTATTCGAAAAATTAACCAATAACCATTTGTCTGGTTACTAGTTAACTGACTAACATAAACAGTGATAAACAATTATCCGATAATCGGATAAACCGCTACGTTTATAACCCAACTGGCAAACAGCATAGGGGAACATACATACAGACAGACAGAACCCTTCCCTGCTGCTAAAACAGTCTCTTCCCTCTTCTTGCAAATGCAACAACCATAACATCGACTCTTGGACTCATGTACCTAAAAAAATGGGTGAAAAAGTTGGAGACTTTGTCCTCAAACCAAAAAAGCCAAAGATCCAAGGCTGCTTGTCTGGAAGCAAGAACAGAGCATTGGAACAAAGAAAAATCCCCAAATGCAGAACTCACTGAATCGAAAATAAGATCAAGATAAACTTAAACTTAAGCAGTAGCAATCCTAGCTGCCAAAGGAATCTCGCAAGAGGGCAAGCACACTCTGCACACAAACTCATAATTCTACTGCTATTGCTGGTCAAGTTGCAGGCTTGGTTCCAATACCCCCAATAAGCAAATAACATTATTAAGAACTTCAAAACCAAGCTTCTCACAATTCCACATAATCCAAGAACCACAATCATAACTGAAAGTTACATGGGACATAGAAGAAAGCTAAAAAGGTTGTTTATGCTTTGGTTCCCTTGATACCATGTTGAAAACATTGGATCACCTTAAAGGGTATTTACCCATTCAAGGTCCAGAGTCAGGAAATCATTCATTTCAAGATCATCAAGTGAGTCTTCGGACGCTGCTTCTGCCCCCTTCTCTTCGGATGCCCTCTTCTTAGCAGCTGCACTAGAAACTGGTAAATCAGAATCTGATTTATCAGCATGCACCGGTGTTCTAGCTGAAGAAGAAGAAGAAGACACCAAGGTTAAGCCTGAAGTGCCTCGCGAGAAAGCAAATTTATTAGCAATGGCCTTTATCTCTGCTTCTGACAGTGAATCCATGGGGGCCTTAGGGAGTTCTGGCCGTCTATCACCTGGAAAATTGAATTTCCCACACTCACCACGGACACAATACAGGGCAGCATCATATGCTCTAGCTGCCTTGTCTGCTGCATCATATGATCCCAACCACAACCTTTTCCCCATTCTTGGAACAGAAATTTCAGCAGCAAACTTACCCAACGCCCTCGTACGAACACCAATGTAATCTACCACCCTTTTCCTCCTTCGAATAGTTTTCTTAGGAGCAGATGGACTGGAGGGGCCAGATTGATCCATAGGTAGAATGCGAATAAGAAAAAGTGTAGTCCTAGATTTATAGAGCTAAAGGGGAAGGTAAAAAACTTTAATCAAGAGGATTGGCTGTCACCAGGTAAGCAATGGAGCTCATGCACAACACAGGTGGAGATAACACGACACAGCATGCACTGATACATGCTGCACGTGGAAGCCGAGGTACAACGTAGTCAACATATGTTATCAAATGCACTGATATATGCAATGCGAAACCGAAAAGTTAACTTCTTTAATAAGAAAGCATTGAAAATAACTTGTCTGTTTTGCGGAATGAAGATCATTTGCAGACAGAAATGCAATAAGATTGGCCACCAGGAAGTTGACTAGAAAAAGAAAAACAGATTTATTTCGAAATCTAGTCAGCATATCACACAAAAAGGGCTGTAAACTAAAGCCCGAATCCCTCTTTTCCTCGAGTTCAAGAAACAACAAGACCTCATAAATGCTAATCAGTTCAAAATCCAGACAACGATCCTCAGCCGTAAGAAAATCTTCACCATGAGCAAATCTGAGATTGTGTCACCTAGATGCTTTTCTCTGAAGCCTTCTTGATGTCTTGGACAATACATATGGCCTGTTACCAAGAAAAATGGCATAATAGTTCAATCGATAACCATAAATAACGTTGCAAAAACAAACTCACGAAGACAAAAGATTGATGAATAATCTTGACAGTTTCAACAGAAAACACAGAACAAGGGAAGGAAAAAGATGAGCCATTATGTGCATGTAAAGCCTGCCTTTTCACGGCCCCATCTCTTGCATGAAAGAGAATCCCACCAAAAATATTATAGAAATCAAAGAACCCACCTCAATGTACACTGAATTATGCATCTCATATCACCTAAGATCCTGAGACCAGTATTGCCAATGAAAGATACAATGCAATGTGTACTAACATCGTTCTTGTTTCTAGTCCAAGCAGTTAAAAGCATCGAGATTTTCAAGTTAACAAGCACGGAAGCAATATGTTTCAGCACAGCATGCAATCAAATGACATTGAGGAACACCACTACCAGCTATGCTCCATCCTTTGGAGTTAATCACGCTTCATCTAATGCCTAGTTAGGGAATAGTTCTTAGTATAAATTGCAGCACTAGATGTCAAAACTCAAAGAACAGACAGCAATCCGAACTCAAAATTTCCCAGAGCCAGGGTGAGAAGGCAAACTATCAAGGAGATTCATCGTGCTCTCACCTTAAGAGGTTGAAGACGCTGCAAGTTCAGACGAAGCAGTTGATGCAGTCTGATTAGCCGCAGAAGGAGGAACGTATATCCGTGCTTTCTTCAGAATGTCCGCAACAACCCAACGCTTATGCTTGCTCAATGGCCTCGAAGGATCCAATTTCACCTGGACACAAGGAATTCCATAAACGTAGAACCCAAGTCACCCTCCATTTGCAGTTGTAAATAGCATAAACAACACCACCCCAAACTTCACCGTGGAAAAAAAGTTTCAAATTAACAAATTGAATCCTTCTTCTCCCAATTAAATGGTAAACCACGTTGATCCCAGATACTTTATGGAGGAAAAGCTGTGTTCTTTTCGAGCAACAGTATGGATTTCATACAAATTGAGCTGGGAACGAGCTCAAGGAGAGCCACAAGGAAAGGCGGGAGCGGGAAAAAAAAAGGTGGGGCAAAAAGCAATTACCCGATCTCCAATGTTGCAGGCGTCTTTCTCGTCGTGGGCCATGAACTTGGAGGTGCGCTTGACGTAGCGATTGTAGACCTTGTTGTGGAAGAGCCTGTCGACGGCGACCACCACCGATTTCTGCATCTTGTTAGAAACGACGACTCCCACCACCGACTTCATCTCCTCGGCTTTCCAAACTCACGTTTGCTTCTTTCGTCCCCTGTCCTTGCCGACCAGTGAGCCCTTCAAAAACCCTAAACCCCTGCCCTCGCCGCAAAACTTCCTCTGGCTTCTCACAGTGACACTGCTGTCGAGCTGGAAACCGAGCTCGCCGCAGCTTCGATGAGTCGCCATTGTAAGAGATTGGGCCTATCGTTTAGTGAGGCAGGCCCAAATAGCTGGGCTCCGAAGCTCAGGCGAGCAAAGTAACCTCAACGGGTTGAGTGACCCAACTAGGCTACGCTGACACAATTTCGACCAAGGGAACTTGCAAGTTACAAGCATGGTAAAGGAAACCGTACCGGACATCATATCGGATTCCTTTTTGGTAGGGTATTTTATGGTACGACCGTGGTTCAACCGTTTCATACCGAGAAATACCATTTTTGTAATAATAAAATATATTTTTTGTCAAAAAACCGTGCCGCCAAAATCAGGGTTTCGTCTCGGAGTAATACCGGATATATCGGAATATACCGGATAATAAATGAATAAATACAAGTAGTTAGCAAATTAATAGAAAAAGAAGAAACTTTAAATAATAATTATTTTTTATAAAAAACTTTCCCATCATTTAATAGATTAATACGCGTGCACTTAACCCTTTCCTCATCTACCATCTTCCGTTCTTCCTCTCATCTCTCTCCCCTCTCTCTCCCTCTCTCTCTCTCTCTCTCTCTCTCTCTCTCTCTCTCTCTCTCTCTCTCTCTCTCTCTCTCATATCGTCGTCGCTCCCGATTCCACCACCATCGCCTTCCTCTCCATCACCGGCCTCGCCTTCCCACCACCACCGCCGAATCCGGGGAGGTACAGGCAGAGCGCGCCACATTTGAATTCGTCTTCGTCGAGATCCACCTCGTGTTTCTTCTTCCTCGCCATCGGCGAGATCGTCCTCGGGGAAGAATTGGTGTCGGAATCGGTGGTCGATTCGTCCGGATTCTTGAACCACATGTCGAGCTCGTCGGCGGCGCTCGATCTCCCTTCGGCGCACGACTTGCTCCGCCGCATGTGAATCTCCTGTTCCAGCGCTCGATCTCTCCTAATTGATCTCCCTTTGGCAATTTTCAGTATTCGAACGGTGACGTTTTCCTTCCAATGAGCCTACCGCCGGTTAGACCAAAACCGGGCGGTTTTTTCGTTTGTACCGATTAAGTCGGAAAAACCGGTCGGTACGATATTTTGAAGCAAACCAGCCTACCGTATCGTTATTGGTCCGATTTCCGGTTTTACCGGTTCAACCGGCCGGTACGATCCGGTTTCCTTTACCATGGTTACAAGGCAATAAAAATTCAACTGACATTGGTCCCATAACAATTTTGCTATATGAGAATTGAGAACCATCTTTTAAGCATTGGACATTATTGAATCATGCACCGACAATTTTCGACTGTTAATTGAACCCGATGATATTTTATTTACAAAAAGTCGTTACATCCATCCAACAACTGAAGAAATTATCCATGAACGATCCCGCTCAACACCTATGAGATGATTCTCTATGTTATGAGCAATTAGATGGATAGAGTTACCTGAAAGTTGAAACATATAGGTGTAAGCCTATACATCCATCTTCATAATCTAAAGTCGCTTCTCCATCATCTAAAACCTAGAGAAACACATGATCTTTCAAGAAATCAGCATCCCAATGAAAAAACACATGACCCCTCTCAGTGAACTTAGCTGTTCTGTAACTGTACTCATCCATCGACAATGGCTGCCAAGCGCCAAATCAGAATGTCATCAAAGAATCAACGTATAACAACTGTCTTTTTCCCTTTACCCTAGCAGGTTTTCGAAACACGGATAGAGAGAAAACGGTACAAGTTCAGATAACTTTGCTCACTTAAGTTACGAGCCTTCAAATTTCATTGCTCAACTAAGGATACAAAAATGTTTGGGAGGCCAAAATTTTTAGGGAACATGATGTGTGAAGTGCAGAAATCATAATACATCTGGAGAAGCTATCAAAGCTGCAGCATTGTTTTTCAGTGTCTTCTTTGCTCGCCAATGTACAGCATTTGCAGTCTCTGACGTTCCCATCTGTACCACAAATCAGCAAATGTTTGTCAAGCTTCAGACACAATCAGAGAATATCTACCCTATGTAATAGATTAACGTGGACCGAAAATAAGCTTGTTCCCATGGCTACAACTCAAATATGATGGAGTACTGGTAGGAGATACTTAACCAGGCCAAACCACATGTGCACTTGTATTTCGCAGGATCTGACTACAATTTAAATGGGCAGAATGACAAATGATTTGGGGTCTTCGTTTTTGGTTGGGGTTGTGGTCGAAACAGCACCAAAATGCTTTGATGAGCCAACCAATTGTTGGCACGGTGCAGTCAGGGGTACGAGGTGCATGTGCAGTTTGGGGTGGTTTAGGGCAAAACCAAGGGCATTAGGGAGGCAGAAGTAGTGCTAAGTGCCAACGGTTTGGTATGCAAAAAAAATGTAGGAAATCGCCAAAAAGGATACATACGATTTCGATAAATTGAGGAAAAGCAAAGCCAGTGTTTACCTTAATTTCCATCGAATAGTAATCTTGCCACAAACTCAAGTCCTGGTCGTAAGTTGAGAGTGCAGAATCGTACAACTTCCGAGCATTTACAAGGCATTGCTTGTCACCAAGAGAGGCGAGGTTCTGTTCCAATTCAATGCACTTTCTGTACAAAGAAAGGTCTGGATGAGGAAGGGCAAGAAATCTGCATATTAACACAATGAAGGTTAGAGTTCACATGGTAAGATTTTCTCTGTGTGCAAATTGTGAAAGAGTTGCTAGAAATCCATAAGCAAAAGCATATACCTCTCATATATCTTTCTAGCATCCTGGAGCCCATCTTTGTGAAGGATAAAGTTTACTACTGCAGAAGAGAGTGAGAATCTATAATCACTGCCTGCACTTTTAGCTACAGCAGTAATAGACATCTCAACCAGCTTATCAGAGTAATCCCTTTCAAGAGCAAAGAACTTGAGTGCCTGCAGTCGAAGAAGAGTACAAAGAGAGCAATGATTACGAAGAGAGAATAGCAGAACAATTTAATTTGTCACCTATACACAAGTTTACAAGAATATATTACTATTCAATCCATCTATGTTTCCACGAGATAAACTAAGTATCTAGAATCTCTTCAAGCAGTGAAACCCTTGATGTCTGGGTTCGGCAGTAGCTAACATAGTCATCAAAATAATCACAAATTGGCTATGGGGAAAAAGGTTCCAAAATGCAAAGTTACAGAAGCATACCATGAGCCAAAGTTCCTCCGACTTTGATAGTGGCACTTTAGCCAGCGCGTCTCTAATTAAACCAAAAATGGAATCCAAGCTGGCCTTACTTTGCGAAAGAGCATCCCTTGTGAAATGTCTAATTTCCATGGAGGCCCTTAAGAGCCATAACTTAGATGAATTTGCAAGATCTCCACTGCAAAGGTCTCTTGCCAATTTTCGGGCTTCATCAAATCTTCCCAATTGCAAATACAATGAAGCATATCTGCAAGCTAGATCCTCTGACATGCACCCTACTAGCTCGGCCTTCTCATATGCCGTTAAAAGACGTGAAATCCAATCTTCTGTACAAACACACAACTGGGTATTTCCATCTTTGGGGACGACAACATCCATCAAAAATTTTGTGTACAGGTCAAACATAACAGAAGAAGGCACAACTTCTAAAGCCTCTTCATAGATCTGCAAACAAAAACTAGCTGATATGATATCTTGAAAGCAATATATTTATATCGATTAGAAGGGAAAACTAAATATTTAGAAGTTCTTGACTTTTGGATATCATCAAATGAGTAGAATTGATAGGGATTTGTACCTTCACTGCCTTCTGTAATTGTTCCAGCATGAGATCATCACTTATTCCCTGGCTACTTTGAGAATGTCTCAGTTCAAGTCTAGCAAGCCATTCCCAGTATTTGGGATCCTTTGAAAAGTCTCTTTTCATATCACTTAGGATCCTTTCACGCATGTCTTCTGAATATGCCAAGTCTGTGGCTTCCAATATCTCGAGGAACCGCTCTCTAAGGCTAAAACTTGAAGGCAAGGCTTCCACTGCACCACTATAAACTGCCTGGAGAATGTTCTGACCTTGCTCTTTAAATATATCTACTTTATCCTCGGACTCCTCATTGTCAGTGTTTGATCCATCAACATTTTTCCTTTCCTCATGAAGTGACAAGAATAAATCTTGGTTATCCTCTCTCCACTCTTTTTCACCAGCATCTCCATCTTCACGAACCAGACTTCCCCTGCCCTCTCCAAGAGCAACCTTTCTTGATTTCAGCTTGTTGAGGTATGTGAGCTCCATCCGGAGGTACTCTACCCAGAGATCGTCTGAAGTCGGGCACACCCTCAAACCACTTTGCATAAGGGCACGAGCTGCTGCAACATTCAAATTATGGTCAAATTCCCATGCTGCGGCGTAAATCCAAACTCCTGGAACCTTTGGATGAAACCTAATTAGTTGAGCTAGGACCTGCACAGGAAAAGGATGCAACTTGAGCAAAAAATGGCAGGACAAGCCAACAACTTGCATTTTAAGAATAGAACCATGTGGTCGTTCTTTCCAAGCTTACACAGAAATAACACAATAGCAAACTGGAGGAACCAAAAATTAAAAGCACGTCTTTCGTTTCTCCAATCTTTGCCAGCTAAGTTCCTCTATCAAGTAAGTGTTAAGAGATGATAGTAAAATTGCAGCTCCGGTGCTTTCCTTTCCTCCTAGTTCAACTATTCAACCCAAACGTCAAGAGAAACAGAGGTCCCATTTCAAACAACACCAAAATCAAAGGACCATTTTCATCACATTCTCCATCTCTCACAGAATGACGAGAAGAATCTCGAAGAATAAGCCAAACAGGAACCACAACCCAAAAGCTGAAAATGACACATATAGTACCTTCTTCATTCTCCCATTACTCCGCTCCCTACAGAACTCCAAATAACGAAGCCAGAGGTCGACATCCCCCTTGTATCTCAACACGGCGAGCCGATAAATCTCGACAATCCTCGACACTCCGGCGAAGTCAGAGACCGAGAGCTTCGTCCTCTTGTTATCCTTCTTCTTATCGAGATCCCGGGCCACGGATCTCTTGCGAAGGCGGCGAAGCGTGTCGAGCTGGGTCTCGTAATCTATGTAGGTCAAATAGTCCTGCTTTAGAGGACTGGGCCGCTTCAATCTGTACTCGAACTTCCGTCTCTGCTTGACAATCTCCGCTATCTCCCGGCGGGTGAACAGTCCTCGACGCTCTAGGTCATCGAGCTCCTCGACCATGCGCTCCAAGCGGTACTGCACTGTGTCCGCCATTTTCTGAGTTTGGTGAGTCGACGCAGCTCAACTCGGGAAGGGGGAACGACGGAGGAAGAAGAAGACGACTTATGCAGAAAAGATACAGATACGCTAGGGTTTAGCCAGCGCGAGGTTTTGGCACAGCCGCACAGACTTGTGAATTGTGATCTAATTTCTTTACGGGTCAATTACAAATACCATCATCAAATTTTGTATTATTACCAAATTGATTCCGATCTTTAACAAATAAAGGCTGTAAACTGTAAAGTAAATTTGGTGGAGGGAAAAATGAAGGAGGCTATGGGTTGAACAGTGGAAATCTCCATTTTAATTTTGGAATCCTGTGTTTCTATGTTTTTTTTTAGGCATAAAAGGGATCGGATCACCTCAGTAATCGTATCATTAGTAACCATCAGTAATCGCGCCATCCACCGTACATCGTATCTTCTTGTGAATCGTCAGATCATGCAAAGTAAATAGGCCTGAGTTCCTGTGCTTAAGCCCAAAAGCTTAAGAAGATGCTTAAACTTTTCCTATTGGCTGATAGGATTTTAGGTAATTAATAATTAGTTTATGGTTAATAGTAGTTATTTGTAAGTTAAGGGCAATTAGGAGATTTTAATAATTTAAAAACTTAACTTAAATAGGAGGTTTTAGGTTTATTTTCTGCCTGTTCGTTTCTCCCTCCCTCAAACTCTATCTTCTTTCCGACGGATTATATTCTCCCTACCTCCTTCAAGCTTCCGACAGCTGCTGGCCAGCCCGTTCGTTTCCAGCCACATCTATAGCCTACTCTTCACTATCGACGAGTACATGATCATCTCGCGACTGTGGTTGCTGCCGGGACACTACTCTGCATGTTGGTACAACTACCGTCGACGTCCACTAGCTACCGCCGGCAACCAACCCCCGATTTCTTTGCGTCGTCGTCGTTCAGTTTGGCGATGAACTCATCGTCCTTAGTATCGTCGATTTCTATTGTCTTAGCATATACGTTGCTTTTGGTCATCGTCCATCCAGCTAGCGTCTACGATCAGTCCCTGGTTTTCTTTGTGTTGTCGTTGTCCAGTTTGGCGGTGAACTCGTAGTGCGTCCCCGATTTTCTTAGTGTTGTAAATCGATTGCTTTTGTATTATTCATGCATTTGCGTGTTTAGGGTTTCAAATTTCGGATTTGCATAGCATGATTGGTAACTTGCTTTCGTTGAATTATTAATAAATCGTTTGATAATTGTTAATTTTATTGCATGCTTTATTCGTTGTATAATTAGAGATTCAAAATCCGGATCTGACAACATTAGTAACGCCGTGGAACTATCAATAAATCTTAGGGTAGTTTTTAATTTTTATGGCTTTATACATGATCATCTAATTTTGTTCTTCGAATTAGTAATAAAACCGATGGTTATTATTACCGAGGTATGCTATCGTTATCAACAGTTTGCAATACAAATTGTTTTTAATGACACCATGAACATTTTAAGTGGATTGTGTTAACAAAAAAAAAAGTTCTAAGTTTTAACGCTTTTTAATGTCATTATAATGTATTAGTAGTATCTAGAAAGTATAATGACCTTTAATTGCGATCATTATCAAAGTTATTGGTTGCTGTATCAACAAAATACATGATAGTTATTCTTGGCATCATCGTTATCAAGGTTTTCGAAGAGAGTTATCAATAAATTGGTGTAACATTATTAACAATTAGTTCTAGTCATTATCAATGATTTTACTTTCATGTGCGTCGGAGATGGAGACACAATATGGTTGACGACCATTAATCTGATCATTATCAATGATTTTTAGTTTCATTTTAAGTGAAACACAAGCTATAAATAATTTTGAGAAGATAGTTATTCGTAACATGTACCATGGGTATTACCCATTTAGATGCAAACATTATCAATAATTTTGCTTGTACTTTCAATGGCAACAGTTTAAATATGAATGATAAATAGTGTCATTACAACGATTCAATGCAAACTCTTATAATATTAAAATATTGATAAATATGTTGAAATCGTTAATAATGATAAGATATACTTTAACAATTTACCTCACAATATAAACTTTCAAAATGTAGAATGCTTCTTAATGTTTTCATATAACATGTTTTCTCCCATTCATTAACAATATCTCATCCATTATCAACTTTTCAAAATTTTAAACGTACATCTTAATTTCAGACCTCAACAACTATCAATAATAGCAAGAATCATTATTAGCTTTATCACATCTTCAAGCCAAATTTATTAACGTATTGAGAAAGCATATTATCAATTTTGTTACCGTTATATATGCTTATGAAAGAATTATCAATGTTATGCACCATCATTATTCACGTTTTGAAAGTTATTAACGTCACCCCAAGGTATTATCAATGTTTTTGAATTAAGTTTTATACATTTATTATATATTATCAACGCTGGGCCAGATGGGTTCCAAGCGGTTTTCTATCAGCAGATGTGGCGGGTGGTGGGAAGGGCTCTAACAGATTTGGCCATTAATTTTTTCTCTACAGGTGTTTTGCCAGAGACGGTCTCAGAGTCTACTGTGGTTTTAATCCCGAAGGTGGAAAGCCCGGAAGTCGTTTCTCAGCTGCGGCCCATTTCCCTCAATAATGTCAATTTGAAGGCTATCACTAAGGCTATGACCAGCAGGCTGAAACCGGTGATGAGGAAACTGGTTTCCCCAAGACAGAGTAGCTTCATCCCTGGCAGACAGACGACGGACAATATCATCGTTGTGCAAGAAGCGCTTCATACTCTCGAGAGGAAAAAAGGGAAGAAAGGAGGGCTCATCCTGAAGATTGACTTGGAGAAGGCGTATGACATGCTGAGATGGGATTTTCTGCGTGACACTCTCAAAGAAGTAGGGCTGCCCAGTACGTGGATTAACTGCATAATGTATTGTGTGGAGCAGAACCGGATGAGGATCCTGTGGAATGGGGAGCTGTCCCCTACTCTGACCCCGACTCGGGGAGTGCGCCAGGGAGACCCTCTCTCTCCCTACCTTTTTGTCTTGTGCATGGAACGCCTTTCTCATATGATTGATGAAGCTGTTAAGAGTAGGAACTGGAAGCCCATCCACCTAACCAGGGGAGGGCCGCCACTTACTCACCTCTTTTTTGCAGATGATCTGCTTTTGTTTGCAGAAGCAGAGACGAGACAGATCAGGGTTATTAGGCAGTGCTTGGATGACTTCTGCTTCAGCTCCGGACAAAGAGTCAATTACAGCAAGTCTCTGCTGTATGTGTCGCCTAATGTGGATCGACAGAGAGCGGACCACTACAGTAGACGGGCTGGCATTCCTCTTAAGAGGGAGCTAGGGAAGTATCTGGGCCTTCAGACTATTCATGGAAGGGTCACCCAGAGCCGCTATCAAAACCTCCTCCTCCGTATCCAACAGAAGCTGGCTCCCTGGAAGGCGAAGAAGCTGTCTTTTGCGGCCAGGCTTACTGTTGTCCAATCTGTTTCGTCCTCCCTTCCTACTTACTGCATGAATACTGAGCTAATTCCCAGTAATGTTTGTAAGAATATTGACAGGATGAACAGGGACTTTATATGGGGAGACGAAGAGGATAAATCGAAAATGCATCTGGTAGCCTGGGACAAGATGACACAGCCGAAGTTACAGGGTGGAGCTGGTTTAAGATCCATTAAGCAAGCGAATCTCGCGATGCTTGCTAAGAGTGGCTGGAGATTGATGAAGGAGAAAGACAGCCTCTGGACCCAGATTATGGTGGCTAAGTATGGTCGTCAGCGTGAGAATCTTGAGATCATCCGCCCAATTCAGGGAAGTTCCTTTACCTGGCGAAGCTTTTCTAAAGCTTCTGATCTTCTCCGGAAAGGTTGTGCTTGGAATATTAAGAATGGTAAACGCACTAAGTTTTGGCTTGATCCTTGGGTTTCGCAGGTTCCGCTGAAGGAGATTGCTCACGGGGACATCCCGGAGGCCGATATTGAGGAGCCGATCGAGAGCTTCGTGGAGGAGGATGGTACTTGGCGGACGGAGCGTTTTGAAGACCTCATCCCGAGTGATGTTTTCCAGAAGATCCTTAGCATTGGAGTTGACAGGTTGGCCACGGAGGATGATACCATCTTCTGGTCAGCCTCGTCGGACGGAAGATTTTCGGCTAGTTCAGCCTATTCTCTCCAAAACCAGCGACCGCCTGACCCGGACGAGGCAGTCTGGAAGACCATTTGGAGCCTGCCCACTCCGGAGAGGATTAGGAGCTTTATGTGGTTGGCGTTCTTGGGGAGATTGGCTACTAAATCTCTCCTTTTCTCCAGGAAAGTCACGGACAACCAGAGATGTGGGTGTTGCGGGCAGCCGGTCGAAACCATCCTCCATACGCTTCGAGATTGCACTGCGGCCAGATTCTTCTGGCTTCGTCACAGCCCGCCTGGCCTACAGTCAAGCTTCTTTTCCATGGGCGAGCGTGACTGGCTGCGTGAAAACCTCAGGAGCAGCGAGACTTTGGGCTCGGGTATGAGCTGGGCAGCCTGTTTCAGTGTTGCGTGTTGGCTCCTTTGGAAGAATCGGTGCACTTTCTGCTTCAGAGGCCCAGGTTCTGCTCTCTCTCCGTCTTCCCTTGAGTTCTCGATCATGGCTAAATGCAAGTTGTGGCATGAAGCGTGGCAAGCCCCCTCACCCCTCCCCTGTGGTAGAGGGCCGACGACTGCCCGTACTACGGTTATGGTTGGGTGGACTCCTCCGATGCATGGGTGGGTGACTCTTAATGTGGACGGGGCCTCTAATGGCAACCCCGGAGCTGCTGGAGCAGGAGGGGTGCTACGCGACTGGGCAGGCAACTGGATAGCTGGTTTCATTGCGAACTTTGGGACGGCCACGGCTATTTTGGCTGAGTTGTGGGCGGTGTTTCACGGCTTAGATATGGCTTGGAAGAAAGGATACAGGGCGGTGCGCTTGGAGTCGGACTCCCAGCTTGCGGTTCAGCTCATCAACAACAGGAGTGATCCGGTTCATCCTCATGCTACTCTTCTCTCAGCCATCCGTAGGAAGATTAGTCAAGAGTGGTTGGTTAACATCTCTCATGTATACCGGGAAGGGAATAGAGTCGCGGACTGGCTCTCGAAGCACAGTCTCGTCTATCCCTACGGGGTGCATGAGGTTGCTAACCCGCCCTCGGAGTTAGTGTCTATTGTTAGAGAGGATGCTAGGGGTGTCTCTTTCGAGCGTCGGATTGTGACGCCGGTTTCTACTAGCTTGTAAGGACCCCGGGGTCTCCCCCCTTTTTTGGCTGTTGCCTCCCTTTACGCAAAAAAAAAAAAAAATAATAATAATATTCAATGTTTTATGATATGATTATTAATGATTTTCCATCAATTTTTAATGATTATTAACCTCGCAGTAAGCTTCCTCGTCGACGGTGAAGCGCAAACTCAGCCGACGAGATTGAAGCGTGAGTGAGACGACTTTCCATGGCGATGGAGAGTGCGGTGGCAGCCTGGCAGGGGCAAAATTAAGCGAGACGACGTCAAATTGGCGGAAAAGATGAAAAAAACTAGTGGCTGGCTTGGGTTCGGGATTGCGACTGAGTTGGATTGGGACGGCGGCTGCTGCGATGAAGCTCCCGTCGATCTCAGAGGGATGGTGGAGGCTCGTATGGCGGGATGGCGCTGCTGTCGTAGAGTTCTTTCTCAACGGCGGCGTCTCCTAGAATATTTCGCAAGGAGAGAGAGGGGTTGAGCGGTTGCCGGCGAGGAATCGAGGTTGGTCACTTTTGGATTAGAGTTACGGTGAAAATGGATTAGGGTTTTCACTCTTATTTTTTTATTAACTATTAATATTAATTATATTTCCATAATACCTTATTTACCCTTAATAACTTATTAACCACTTACCTTCCTTTAACTAACTAAATTCCTATTGACCAATAGGAGAGCTTTAAGCATATGCTTAAACTTATAGGCTTAAGCACATGATCTGACCCGAAGTAAATACATGCGGGGCAAAATAGTAATCATACGGTTCTGGCAATTTGAAAAGCAGAAATGACATTGAACCGTCCCGCCTTATCTCCTTCTTTCTCTCATCTTTCACGCGACAGTTTTATTTTGCTCTGCTGTCTATCTCTCGATTCTTCATCCCGATCCTCAATTCTCTCACCAAAATCGCACCAAAAACTTCAGAAAACACTTCATAAATGATAAATCTTGATTTTATTATAAAGTCTATGAATCTTAAAATCTTGATTATACAAAAAGCTTAATAACGGATTATCATACATTGATCCAAACTAGAAATATGCAAGTGCCATCCAGGAGTTATCTATGAATCTTAAAATCTTGATTATACAAAAAACTTAATAACGGATTATCATACATTGATCCAAACTAGAAATATGCAAGTGCCATCCAGTAATAACTCCTTAATCCCAATGACAATCCAAACAACAACAAAAACACGTGGCGGCAGCAGAGTGCACAGAAATTTAATATCTCCAGAAGTAGTTGTAATAATTTTGATATATTTTTTACTATAAATAGCAACAGATGAACGGCCAAGGCGGGATTTCCTTCTCTGCTCGTCTTCTCCATCTCTCTCTTTCCACTTATGGCAGCAACAACACCACTCGCCCGAGTCCACTCGGCCACCACCGCCTCGGCTCGTTTTCAACTCGGTCCTTGTGATTCCGAGTCGGCTCAGCACCTCCTCTGCTCCACTTGACCGAGTTGTAAGTTTCCTGCAACTCCATTTATGCATTCATATGATCTGTCTGGGGGAGTGTTCATTCATTCGTTCATATGTGAGAAAGCACAAGCAGGAATAGCCTTGACAATGGTGGTGGGTCTTCCATCCCAATCCTTTATTGCTTCTCCCATGGGTTTCTGACATGGGTGCCTTGTGGTGCGATCAAAGGAGTTACTGATTTCGTTTCCCTAAATCAATTTTTCTTCAGAAAGTTTATGTTTTCTTTTCCTGGAATTTTTTTTTAAAAAAATACTCCGAGTTAAGTCGAAAGAACGAAATTGGAAGCTTTGGCCTTCGGGTGTTTGCTGTGCCAACTGGGGTTTGTTTGTTTTTGCTGTTTAGCTTTCCTTTCTACTGGAATTTGTAAATTTCACATTGGAGAAACTCTCTAGTTTGCTTTTCTTTGTCGGTTTGGGTGCATTGTGTGGATGTAAAGAATAGGAGTCAGGAGATAGAGATGAGGATAACTAAAGGAAGCAGGTTAGGATGGGCCCTTTTATGGATGGAATTTAATGAATGGTGGGTAATGGTACTTTGGGCATATTGTTTTTGCCAATTGACATGTATGTATGGTATGGTATTTATGTATGTATGTGTGCATGTCATGGAAAAGGAAATGATGATTGAGCCCTTTGTGAACTCTCCATCTCAAAACATATGTGGTTCCTTGAGAAGAGAAGGAAAGGGGATTGGATTTGTGTGGTTTGGGATGGAACTTGAACTAGAGGCATAGATAGAATTTTTAGTTGCCTTGCAGCCTGTTAGCCAATTGGCCTAGAGCACTGTTCCAGCTCATGGATAAGATTGTTTATATGTCAAGGACTGTGTTATACATTGTCCTTGCACCTTAGGGCACTTAACTCCTCTTGACGATAAAAACAAACAAATAGCTGAGGTGTTATTAAGAGCTAGCGGAGATGCTCAAATTTGTAGCAAGGTAAGTGCTACGGAGTTTTGGCAAGGAGGGTAATCATTAAGCAAGGAAGTGCTGTTTTTTTGTTGTTGTTGTCTTTCTGGAAGGGTTAGGCAAGAAGTGTTTGTAGCTTTGATGTTTAAGTCACATCTATAGACTTGAAATTCAAGGATTCACAAGTGGACTAAAATGTAAGCAAGGCAGTGTTTGTAGCTGTAACGAGGAACTCACATCTATAGACTTGAAATTCAAGGATTCACCAGTGGACTAAAATGTTTGTAGTGTGCCTGTTGCTATTGCTTTCTACAAGTTAGGGACCAGTGTAGGAATCGTGTTGCATGGTCCTATTCCTAAATGAATTGAACAGAAAGACTTACTGTATGAGATGGATCCCAAGTTGCTTTGTCGTTATTGTTGACTATGAAGTTTCCATCTACTTCTTTATGAGTGTGGTAGCCCAATCTATCTACCCAACTATTTTCTAGGGGAAGGCAGATCAAGTTCATCAATCCACAACACATGTGGGTGTATGAAGAATTGGAGGAGAGCAATTAATAATTTTGAGTTGTAGTTGTTTGATAATGAAGTGACAGAATTGATCACTCTGTCTATGAGGTCCCCATGCTGTAAATGGGGCTTGACTTGTGGTCTGAATTTCTTATTTTTAACTGTTCCTTTGAGGCCAGTAACTATTCATGACACAAAATAAACCCTGTCGTGGGTAGCTCATTTGTTGTTACCACTTTCCTGGAATGATGATACTGTCCAACTATGTAGGTTCTGTTCGTAAATGAATTAAGGTTATGTTACTGGCCTGATTCCTTCAGAATATTTGTCCTAATGATGATGATTATAGATAGTGCTATGTTAGGAACTTTTGTACCTTTTATTTCTGTTCTGGAGTTTTGGTATGTTAAAAAAGGAAGATGCTAGTTTCCCTTTGAAATCTATGGTTCTGGTGCAATTTATAGCAGGAGTGCTGACTCAAATGCTACTGTTGATTGGAGAGGAGACGGTAAGAATCTGTAACAAAAGTTTGGATTGTCGGATATGGTATATTCTTTACTGATGTAGTTCTAAAGTCTTTTGGTGCTCTCTGAGTAGGATTCTGCTTAGATGGAGGCTGGTGGAGGATTTTATTGCCTGTGCTGCTGCGGTGAATTTGTGGCTGGTGGTGGTGGTGGGGATGCTGTGTTGTGACCATTCGGGTGGCATGTGCCAAGTGTTATTGTCTTGGCCAGAACGGGAAGGGGGAAGATCCACTTGAAGACCTCTGACAAATTTAATTCCACTTGTTTGCTTGATGGGAAAGTAGATTAATCACCTCGTCTGAAAGTGACATCCTTTTTTTCTGGGCCGAAGGACACCTTTTATTTCGTGTTTGTTTTCATCATCTTCATTTCTGTGGTACCTGGAGCCCTCTTTAAAAATCAGGGGAAGAGAGGTTGGTAATCTGTTTTCCTTGAAGGGAACATCAGAAGTTTCTCTTTAAAAACTGTTGTATCTCCATTCTCAACTCTGGATTTTGGAAGGTGAAACAACTGCAAACCTAAAGGTTCGTGCTTTAAGTCAGTCTCAACTTTCCTTAAGTCACTTGAGATGAAATTTACCCTTATCCTGTTTTGCATGTTTTCTGTTCTGTACATGTAGACTGAGCTGTGGTTTCCAACCTGCAAAGGGGCCTTCAGCGTTTCCAGCCTTCTGTCCTTTAACTGCTTCATTCCAGCTTGCCGTAATTAGCTATTTTGAACTCTGAATGCTAGATATTGGAGTAGATGTATCTATGAAGGCAACTGTAAATGAGACATACTGATAGAACCACAATATTTCTCTCATTCTGTGACGACTACTTCTGTTGTTATGGAGTGGAATTTGAAGGCTGCATCGGATTGGGACTGGGATAACATAACTGGGTTTAGCTCCAAGACATGTGGCACTGAGAAACAAGTAAAGCACTTCTTAACCCATGATGATGCTGAAGAAGGACTTGGAGGAATCAATAGTGGATACATCTACTCACCTGGATGTGGTGGTGGTTTTTCAGGCTCTGATTCAGGACATGGCTCTTCATCTAAGAGCTCTGTGGAAGGACTTCCTGACTATATCAGTAAGAAACATTTGAGCATCGTGGGAAATGTTGAGAATGTTTCGACCATGGATGCTTCTGCCAGCTCTGGGGAACAAGTAATTGGTCTGAAGCTTGGTAAACGGACGTACTTTGAAGATGTATGCGCGCCTGGAAATGGCAAGTCATCATCTTCATCTGCTTCCGTGATTGCTAGCTCATCTGTTGCTGCTGGAAAGAGAACTAGGGCCTCGTGTCAGAGTTTACCATCACCATGCTGTCAAGTTGAAGGATGCAACCTTGACCTCAAGTCAGCTAAAGATTACCATCGGAGGCATAGAATATGCGAGAATCACTCAAAAAGTCCCAAGGTTATTGTTGCTGGCCTGGAACGCCGGTTTTGCCAGCAGTGCAGCAGGTAAGTTTTCTTTGTCCACCTTTCATTATCTAGCATAAACAATGTAGTTGCAGCAGCTACTTTGCTTTGGCACTTCTTAACTCCTGAATTTTCTGTTAGGGGTCATTGTTGATAGTATATGGCTGGTAGATTCATGCCTCAATTCCTTAGGTGATGATTTGTAATTACCGTAATGGGTAATTCGTTTGTTTTAGTAGACTATTTTCTGCAATTTCTATTTGGAGATTTGTAATTACGGCAAACTGTAAGAAGTTGAATTTCACAGATTCACTTCTGGCCAAAGGAAAATTCTAAATCTCACAAGTTGCTAGATTCTTTTGTCATGATTTGTAGGAAGATAAAAAGGATGGAGGACAACACAAACATAAATCCCTACTTAAAATTACACATACATGCAACATATCTTGAGATTGAAAATCAGCGGTGGTACCGCGAAACCAAACCAAACCAAACCAAACCAAACCAACACAACTTACTTTCTAATACAATCTAATATTTTGATCTCACTTATTCTCAGATCTCTTGGTTACTACCATCCAACAAATGAGAAATGTCACCTTCAAACAACCCCTTATCATCTCTTTATTTACTGTATGCTGATGTGAGACTCTTCCATTGTGAAACTGGTTCTAGGTTCCATGAGTTGTCAGAATTTGATGACAAGAAGCGAAGCTGTCGTAGACGTCTGTCCGATCACAATGCACGTCGTCGCAGGCCGCAGCCAGAGGCACTCCAATTCGGTTCAACTCTGTCTGCATCGATATATGGTGATCATTCTTTGGTTTTCTTCTAATCAAATTATGTTTATGATAAGTTGGCTGGAATTTCTGATGGCTGTCTATCTTTTCTATTGTCCTCATTGTGGATTTGTACAGATAATAGAAGGCAGATGAACGTTATGTGGAATAGGGTTCCTTTACCAGCTAAAAGTTTCACCTGGCCAAGTAGCTGTGGGCTTAAATTCACACAAGAAGGAGATCCTTTCCATAGATATGCGAAAACAGAAGGCATTAGTAGGCAGATGAGTGACTTGTCTAATGAATTGAATGACTCAACTTCTGCCTTGCCAATGATCTCAGACAAGGGTCTGTCTTTCAGGAGCAGTACACCTCAGATCTTTAATCAAGGTTCGTTTCCTATTCACCACCAGATTGTGCTACAGTTGAGACTCGATAATTCCTCTTGTTTGATAGTATGGGGTGTGTTTGAATGCTTTGAAAATCAGCCAAATTTGTAGTTCAATGATGGACTACTTCCCCATTACTGACAACAATGGATTGACGAAATCATACACAGGTTTCGAGGGGTCTGCAGTAACTTGCAACCAAGAGATGAACCCTGAGTTAGGGGGTGCTCTCTCTCTTCTGTCAACCACTTCCTCCTGGGGTATGAATGAGCCTCCTGATTCAGCGCCGTTCGACCAGCTTATGCTCGTGAACGAAACAAGTGCGGGCCAGACGATGATGCACGCAGAACCGCAGAGCTGGTCGCTCTCATCATCAGAAAATGCGCCAATGGAGTCCCGGGTGAATTCGTTCGATTTACAAGACAATGAAAGCATCAGTTTCCAGCAGTTCCAGCCGTTCAAAGCACCTTATCACTCCAACTGCTTCTACTCTGATCAGATGGACTAAGCTATTGGAAACTGATGCTTAGTATGCTGATCCATGCTATGAATTTGTTGATTCCGGTGCTGCGTTGTTAACTGGTTTTCTAAGCAAGCCAAAAACCAGTTGCCCTTCTCCCTATCCTCACTCGTAGTCAATTGTTAATTGCTGTTGAACTCAGATTTTACTTTCGTTGCAAACGTTTGGTTGAGCAGGCTTAGAATCCTCTGGTTTGACGTCAATTGTTTAGGTGAATGAATGTTGGGTTCACTTCTTGATCATGGGATGTGGGATGGTTAGTGTTCCTAGCAAGTTGCGACTTTATCCAATGTGGTTCCTGGATTTGGCGAAATGAATAAAATTTCAAAGACAATCAACGATGTTAATGACTTCTGTATCATTACTTTTTGTTTTTGTTTTTTGTTGTGGAAAAAGTGGGACACAAAAAGGGGTCACTGCTTGACACTTGTATTAAACGAGATTAGACCAAAGACATCCTGCTTCCCATTTCAGTGCCGTTGATTGACTTCATCGACTCTGCCCAAAAGGACACTCTTAAAAGATTCAATGGAATTTGCTTAGTTAGGCCACTTCCACATTGCTACTATCCATGGAGATTTTCAAAGTCACTGACCGTGATAGTGCTGGCTAATCTTCTCTGTATCGTTCTAATTTTATTGAATGTCCCCAAAGGAACGACGGTGACAGAGCTGGGCTAGCACAATTGACTGATTTTGGACTAAATTAGCACCCAAGTAGCTATAAAAAAAATTTCTCCATACATTATTATGCTGTGCCACAAACGGTCAATCTGCTTCACTATTATCTGCACATTTCTACATACTTTTTTGGTGGTGCGTGAAATGAATAGTGTACTAGTTAATAATATCTCAGATTATATAATGGATAGCTAGGTTGTTAACTTCAATTGTTTGTAATCTATATGTTTTTTGGAGATTAATGTGGTGTTGATTATTTATATTTCAGTTCTGAAGGATAAAAATTATATGTTCTTGTTGGTGAGAGAATACTCAAATATGATAAATACTTAGGGTAATGTCTATTTTTTATCCAAACCTTTTCATATTCTTTTATATTATTCAAACTTATCGAAATATTAAGAATTAGCCAAATGTTAACTTCCAATTAGCAATTTTGTTAGTAGTATTGAGTTGGTAACATGATACTGACTTGGAAAAGACACATTAAGGTCAACATTCCAAAATTTTAGTATTTTAACTAAGAAAAGAGTTATAAAATTATTAATTATAACTTAAAAATGGCTAATATTTTGATGCATTATGAAAGATTTGGCTAATTAATAGAATTTTAATAGGTTTGAATAATATAAAAAAAAACTGAAAAAGATTTGGATAAAAAATAGATATTATCCCGTACTAGTGTGCCCACCACGATCATGTTTCTTGGCACAACTTGTGCCAAAGAAAATTTATGTAACATTCACGCAAGGTATTCTGCTTTGTCATGTAAGATTATCAATTAGCCTTTGGTAATTACACCATTTTTCACAACGAGCTATGTGTAAACAATCATTCAAAATATAAGGAGTATTGTTATCTAGGGATACATATGAGAGGGAAATTGTTGATAGTTCCGACTATCAATTGAAATTTTTGTGTAAAATCTATTCAGTTTAAATGAAATTTTGAGCTATGTCGCTCCTTGTTAATATTTGATAGTGATACACCCTATCAAGAAATAAGTTAGAGGGTCATTTGGATAGAATCATTTCAGAAACGAGATAATTTGGTCAATTGTCTAATTTTGTAAAACGAATCATTTATAACGAATTAATTGGAATTACTTGTTTCCATCCCAGACAATTGAAATTTGTCTCAAAACGGATCATTTCAAATTCTCCGCGCCTAATTGATTCATCCAAATCTTTTACTAGCAAACAAGTCAATTTGGTTCAATTATCTCAAAAACAAGACAATTTAGTGATATCGATCTGTCATAATTCATCATTCACATGACCCACATTTTTTTATATTAATATTTCAGTGTGAAATGCTCCCCCATCACTCAAAATTTTCCACCCCAACAACCCACCGCCGGCACCTTCTATAAATACCTCCTTTTCCTTCGGCCGGCCACTACACTCCGACAATCTTATTATTATTCTGTCCACTATTTAAACACAATGGCAAACCTCCAAGTAATCCTCGTTGCCACGTCAGCCATACTGCTGACCGCCGCAGTCCTCCCGGCGGCCTCCGCCGATGTCACCGTGGCGGACATCGTCACGCCGGAATTCTTCAACGGCATCAAAAACCAGGCACCCAATAGCTGCGTCGGCAAAGGTTTCTACACGCTCGACGCCTTTCTCCGGGCCGTGCACTCCTACCCGAACTTCGGCAACCGGAGATCTCTCCCCGGTTCTAAGCGCGAGATCGCCGCCTTCTTCGCCCACGTCACCCACGAAACCGGAAGTAATTAATTGAGCCGCCTTTTACGAACTTCTTACTTTTACCTTACTTCGATCACTCTCCTGCTAATTATTATGAGTTATAGTTAAGGATGCCAAATTCGACCTGCTATGTTTGATTTGTTTTGGAGTGGGTAATACGGTTACTTAAATAGGGAGTGACAGACTTAGGAACTCTGCTCAATCTGATTCTCACACTGACATGCCTCATTCTAGACTCGTTTTGACGAAATTACTTGCACATTTACTAAAATTACTTATGATTTTTTCTTTTATTACTTATCTCATAGTTTTACTATAATAAAGTTGTAAATAGATAGAAACCTCAATTTTTCGAATAATTTATAACTACATTTATCCTAACGTTGTTTCTTATCTTTTAATGAAAAATCAATATTTTTGATATTTCCCTTTAAACTAAATACCCATATGGATCGATCAGTCCCGACCCGCGTCCCGTGATAGATTGCCCGACCTTTCATGGGGCGGGTACGAATATCTATCCTCGACCTAGCTCATCGTCATTTCTATCTAGTTATAACAGTGCAATTTTTACATTATTTTTCCAGCCGTAGTCGGTTTTTTTTTTTTACAGTTGTACATATAGGAATACAGCTCCGACCCATTAATCATAGTCGTATTCGTGCTTTTCGTAGTTGTCGGACTACAACTCATACGCGAACGCACATAGAATCGACACAGTATCATGTCTGATAACACGCATATCAAAATTTGTGTGTTCTTTTATTATGGCGAAATAGATTTACTTTTGTTTTTATGTGCTACTACGTAATGAATTCGAATTTGAGACCTACGGATTAAAAAAATCAGCGATAATACCACCAGACTAAGTCGTTGTTGGCTAATAAATAATCGTGTGGTTTTTGTTTTGGGCAGACATGTGCTACATTGAGGAAACCAACCGCGGGACCTACTGCGACCCGACCCAGTTCCCGTGCGCGCCGGGGAAGAGGTACTACGGCCGGGGCGCGCTCCAGCTCCGGTGGAACTACAACTACGCCAAGTCCGGCCGGGAGAACAACTTCGACGGCGTGAACGACCCGGACGCCGTCGCCAGGGACCCGGTGCGGGCGTGGCGGTCGGCGCTGTGGTTCTGGGTGACGAACGTGGGCCCCGTCCTGCCGCAAGGGTTCGGCGCCACCATCCGGAAGATCAACGGCAAGGAGTGCGACGGCGGCAACTCGGCCGCCGTCAGGGAGAGGGTGGGGTACTACAACAACTACTGTCGGAAGTTTGGGATCCCGCTGCAGACCAATGCTGGTTGTTGATTGAAGTCTTTACGACGGCAGCGGCGGCGACGAGGAGTGATAATAAGGAAATAAAATAAATGTTGTACCTGCAAACAAATGTTGTATTTAATTTGTTCGTAGGGAAGAAAGAAAAAAATGAGAGGAATTTATAATACGAAAATGGGATTAACTATTGTTATGAGCAATTTTACAATGCTATATAGCATTTGTGCTATAGGTTTTTCTCTTTATGGTACAACTTGAAGTTGTACCTTTAACGTTATGGTACAACTTCAGGTTGTACCTATACTTTTTTGTCAAATTGTTTTATGGTACAACTTAAACTTGTACTTTCATTTGATGGTACAAGTTTAAGTTATAAAGTTGTACCATAACATAAGAGAACAAATTCCTTTATGGTACAACCTGAACTTATACATTTATTGTTATGGTACAACTTTAAGTTGTACATTAAAGCACCAATACTTTATAGCATAGTAGAAGTGCTCCTATTGTTATATGTTCTCATCAGTATTTAGATAATAAATAAACGGTGCACGGTATTTTTATAGAGTTCTTGTGTAGGAGCACGAATAGGGATACGGTCGGTAATCGTTAGTAACTCACTCGGAGTCGAGATAGGATGTATAACCATGGGTTATACACTTATAATAATCAAATCTGAACCATTCATTTAGAAAATCCAGATCTAACGATGAAAAATTTAAAATTATTTTTATTTTCCCTAACTTTCTTAATCGGCTCATATCTTTTTCGTTTTAACTCGGATTTTAATTTTTTTTGCATAGATGGAATGAGTTCATCGTGCTCTACAAAATGAGATCGATTTTCAATATTTTTTTAGATAAAAAAAATTCTGACCTCTCGATACCAACTGCATACCATATGGTATCCTCTTCGTTTTTAATTCGTTTTTGAAAACGTTTGCACAGAAGGGACGAGTTCATCATGATCTGGTGGATCTACAAATTTATGGGTGAACAAATTACTGGACCAAAAAATACCACACAATACCACCCTGGTACGGGGTGGTATCTTGTGGTACACAATGTTGAAAGTCGTAAATGACAGTTAATATACTTCTACTATCATGTATTCAACCATCCTACAGTCTTGGTTTGTTCATACCACCATGATACGCTTTTCAAACCATAGGTATGCTCTTATTTCAATACCAGTCAATACCATATGATATAGACTGGTAAAAAATGGCTCAATTTTTTTGTTCGAAAAATATATCAAAGTGGATATCATTTTGAAGAACACAATTAATCTGATCTAACTGTGCAAAAAAAAAAATTCGACTTACAACAAGTGAGAAATCGTCCGTCAAAGATTAAGGAGGGAAAAATTAAAGGCTTTCCAGGAGAGAGAGAGGGATGTTGATGTCATGCTGATGTGGACGGGTTACTCATGGTTACTCACCATAAGGATACTGACCTGATCCGTTCCCCAATCATGTGACTGGGATTGATGCGGGGTGGGGAGGGTATTTCTGTCTACTTTTTGAATTTTGAATTGTTTCTTTTTATTTTAATTTGCCCAACATTTATTAGGTTCCTATCTCTTATCTCTACAACTCTTTTTTCCTCTTTCTTTATTCCTTTCTCTCTCTCAATCTCTTTCTTCTCTAGATCTAATCTCTTATTATGTTCTTCATTTTTTTCCTCTAACAATTTCCTCTTTCTTGGTTCCTTTCTCTCTACCAATCTCCTTCTTCTATAGATCTAATCTCTTATTCTATTTTTCATTTTTTCTCTCTAGCAATTGATGAAGGAAAAGTGCAGCCTCCTTTTTCCAAGTTATCGGCTTCAAATTTGGTGACGCTCCATATCGACCAAGAGAGGATAGATCTAAGTGAGTCAAGTTGCCATGTTATATGTTTTAGTTTTTGTTTGTGGATTTTCAATTCCAATCTTTCTCTTTTTTTCTTCTTTTGATGTTCTCGTTTGCGGAGGAGGAAACGAGAGGAGTCAGAAGAAAGGCATGTGAAGTACGTCTTAGTTATATGTATATTGTCGCTGCCATACTATACCATTGTGGCATTGTGTGGTAACTAGATGTATATTGTGGTTACCATACTACCATATGGTAATGTGTGGTAACTCGATGTATACATATGATTACCATATTTTTACCATGAAAGTAGAGTGTAGTAATCGACATCAATTCAGAGAAAGGAGATTCAGAAGATAATGAAGGGGACAAGAAAGCGAAGAAAGTTGTAATTATATATATACCACTAGGGGTGTCTATACGGTCCGGTCCGGTTAAATTGGCCCAAATTGATCCGGTCCAGTCCGGTTTTTTGAAAATATAAGGACCGAAGATTGAATTGGATACAGTCCGGTCTTGACCCGGTCCGGTCCCAATTCAGTCTTGATTTTATATTGAGATTGTGGAATTTGAGTGGCCTAAGGCCTAAAAGGGTGAGGAGTTGGTTAAGTTTTGTACTAAGTGTAAAGGTTTGTGACCGTTTATGCAAATTACCCTTAAGTTTTGGGTGTTGAGCTCTCTTATCCGGTTTTTTTACCTCAAATCTAAGCCCAAAGATTGGATTGGATTGTTTACTATACGGTCTCGGTCCGGGTTATACGGTCCGGTTTATGGTTTTTCATCCGGTCCCGGTCCAAATAGCCAGCCCTATATACCACACTATATCATATGGTAATGTGTATTTTTATGCATACCATGTTTACTATGGTTGTAGATGGTGGTAATTATATTTATATTTGTTGTTAAATGGTTTTACGTTCTCTTACCATGTGATATGATATGGTATGGTAATTATGATTATTTTATGGTCATTCGATTTACCATGTTCTGCTATGGTGGTATTGTATGATAGTTAGATTTATAATTTTTTGTAACATGTTTTACCACGTTATACCATGTGGTATTGTATGGTAGTTAGATTTCTAATTTTATTTTAGCATTTATCCCATATGTTATTGTATGGTAATTAGATTTGTAATTTTCTATAGCATATTTTACCATGTTTTACCATGGTAATAGAAAGTGAGAGTCAGAGTTGTAAATCTTGTAATGACATTGATAATGGCGTTATACCATGAATCAGTAATGACCAATCTGAGCCAGAGTTGTAAATCTTGTAATGATAATGGCGGAATTAGACTGCAGTGCAAATACCAACCCACTCACTTTCCAAAGTCCAAAATAAACCACTTACAACTAGCTAGGAGTGGAGTGGAGTGAACGCGTAAAAGAAAATACAGCCGAGAGAGAGGAGACCAAAGACTTGCGTTGCTTCCCGTTTCATCAGTGCTGTTGATTGACTTCATCGGCAGATTTGATCAGTGGAGCAAAAGGATGATAGCTTAGGTATCCTCCATTATACTTTTCCTCGCCAAGAACGAGTTGATTTCCATAACTTGAATTGTTGAGAGAAGCTTAATAATAGATATTGTATCATTAATTAACACGCCCCATCAACAAAAGTCTACTCATATGAACTTTTATAATATCATGTCAAGAACTAAATACTAATGAGGCTAGTAAATGATATACGATCCATTGTTCAACTTCTCTCAACCACTCAAGTTATTGGATCCATATATTTTTTTTTTTATAAAGGGGAGGTTACAAGCCAGAAAGTAACAACGAAAAACAATCTCATATCAGCCACAAGGACCCCTGCTCACACGCAGGTTATCCTGACGGTATCATTCGTGGGAAGCTAATCCCTATCATATCCTCCCAAAGTATCCGTTCCAAACCGGTCGGCGGATCGGTTAATTCATACATACCGAAGGGATAGACGAGACTGTGCTTCGAGAGCCAGTTCGCAACTCGGTTAATTCATACATACCGAAGGGATAGACGAGACTGTGTTTCGAGAGCCAGTCCGCAACTCTATTCCCTTCGCGATATGTATGAACTAACCGAACCATCCAATTCCTTGCCATTATCCTGCGAATCGCAGTCAGGAGAGTAGAGTGAGGGTGTACCTTGGATCCATATAATTCTCGACATTTCCCACCTAAAATTCTTACCACCAGCTGTATTTTACATATAAAAAACCAGACCAGGAACTACTTGGATGGACTCCTTTCACTCACGACATTACAAACCTTATACGATGATGGGTCACAACACAATCCAATTCTTTGGATCTACTCGCATGATCACAATTCCATTACTACTACTAATCCATCCCTTCTTCTTTTTCTCTACTTCCACCACCACTGCTACTGGTTCTTACAACCACGATCATCACAACGATGCTGCAGCTCTCCTCCAACTCAAAGCCCACTTCACCATCAATACTTCTCCTCCCTCCGATCATCCCCTCTCCCGCAACTGGACCGCCGCCGCAGCAGCCAGCATCTGCAGCAATTGGGTCGGCGTCTCGTGCGGCCATCGACGACACAGCAGAGTAACCTCCTTGACTCTGCCCAACATGAAGATACAGGGGACTCTGCCTCCAGACCTCGGAAACCTCTCCTTCCTCGTCTCCCTCGACCTCAGCGGCAACCTCTTGTACGGAGATTTACCCATGGAGATCTCGAGGCTGCGGAGGTTGAAGACGATCAACCTCGCCAACAATCAATTCAACGGCAGCATCCCACCATCGATTGGTTATCTCGAGGGTCTGAAAACCCTCGATTTGGGGGGGAACCAGCTTTCAGGTTCCATACCAGCAACGGTTTTCAATGTTTCTTCATTGGAGAGATTGGTGTTGGCGTATAATCGCTTATCAGGAAACCTTCCTGATGAAATGTGCGATCAATTGGGGGTTGTTCAAGTGATCAATGTGTCTCACAATGAATTGGGAGGTGGAATTCCATCTGGGTTGGGACATTGCAGCGCTCTTCAGAAGTTGTCTTTGGGGTATAATTGGTTTACTGGGTCGGTTCCAAAGAGTCTCGGGAATTTGACTGCACTCGAGGTTCTGAGTTTCTCGTTCACAAACTTGACAGGTGAAATACCATATGAGATTGGCGACCTTGGAAGGTTACGGATCCTGGGGATGTCGAACAGTGATCTTTCTGGAGTCATTCCGTCTACCATGTTCAATATTTCCACCCTGCAAGAGGTGTATCTTGGCGAGAACAGGTTATCAGGGGTTTTGTCACGTGAAAAAATGTGTTGTCGTGCTCGAAATCTGAATACTTTGTATCTGGAGCATAACCAGTTGCACGGCGAGATTCCTGCGAGCGTCGGGAACTGTACGAGTCTTCAGTTTGCATCGTTCACCGTCAACCAGTTCTCTGGAAGTATTCCAACAGCTATCGGAAATTGCAGCGTGCTCACGATGTTAGATCTATCGAATAATAGTTTGACCGGTATGTTGATATTTATTATTTTGATTGTGATTTCTTAGTTCTTTTTTGATAACGTGGAATACCTTCCAAGGTTATTTTTGTCACAAAAAGTTAGTTCTCATAATGGTGCTAAACGATGTTTTAGAAACCCTATCGTACCAGAAATATTAACAACCCGCTCCCTTAATCTTTGCTAATTGGCCCAAGAATGTTAACTAATCTGCCACTGAATGCTTATGAACCAAATTCTTTCAATACAAGAAAGATCTCATCTGACGTTTTGTCATAAATTTTCTAGGTGAAATCCCTCGAGAAACTGGTAGGTTGAGTAGTCTAGAGGAGCTCTACATGGGGAACAACTTCTTACAAGGTTTGTTTCTTCCAACTTTGGTTCTCCATAAATACATTTTACTTCTTGAGAGAACTATCCATCTATAAAGGATGATCATAAAAAGACTTGTATACTATATCTCCTCCAAACAAAAGTAGTAAATGTCCCTTCATCAACGCAAATGCATCTTCTAGCTCATCTTTTTCATATAAAGCGATCAATGCATCTTTTACGATGATGACAGGTGAAATTCCTCGTGAACTGGGTAATCTTATTGCCATGGAAGTTCTCAGCCTCGGCGGAAACAAGTTAAGCGGGCCTATTCCCTGGGAGATTTTCAACATCTCATCGATAAGTTCTATGGACCTTTTCGATAATAAATTATCAGGAGTTCTCCCACCAACCTTGGGCTCAAACCTCCCAAATTTGGAGGGACTTAATGCTTGGGGTAATGAGCTTAGTGGAAGCATCCCATCCTCCATCGCCAATGCTTCAAATCTTTCTTTCCTATCCCTAGCTAACAACTCATTCTCTGGTCGTGCTCCTGATGCCCTTGCCAATCTGGAATTGCTCGAGATCCTTAGCATCTATGGAAACGAAAAGCTAGTTGTGGAGCCATCCTTCATCACTTCTTTGACAAGATGCACTCGTTTGAGATGGCTGCAGATGTCGCGCACTTCCTTCGAGGATGCTTCGCTCCCAAGTTCCATAGGAAATTTATCATCTCTCGAAACATTCACGGCGTATGACAGCGAAATAAAAGGTATCATCCCCGATCAAGTTGGCAACTTGAGCAATATTAATTCCATTGGTCTCTCGGGAAATCGATTAACTGGGTACATTCCTCGAGCAATTGGACGGCTCGAGAAGCTCGAGTATCTGGCATTAGATCGCAACGAGTTGCTCGGACCGATTCCTGATGAGCTTTGTGAGTTGCAGTTTAGTTATCACTTAGAATTGAGTTACAACAATCTTTCGCAACAAATCCCAGGTTGCTTAGCCAACTTGACTCTACAACAACATCTTCATTTGGAGTTCAACAAGTTCAACTCTATAGTACCTTCTTCACTTTGGGGGATGAGCTCCTTACTAACATTACGTTTGGGAGGTAACTTGCTAAGTGGATCACTTTCTCCCCAAGTTGGCAACTTGAAAGCCTTGTATTGGATGGGTTTATCAAGGAATCAACTATCAGGCTACATTCCTGAAAGTATTGGAACTCTTGTGAATTTACAGGAGTTGAATTTGGATAGAAATCAATTCCAAGGCCCCATTCCAAATTCCCTTGCCAATATGGTTATCTTGAAATCCTTGGATTTGTCATCCAACAATCTCTCGGGTGTTATTGCCAAATCTATGGAGTCTTTGAGTGATCTAAAGTATTTCAATGTATCACATAACAGGTTATGGGGAGAAATCCCAAGTGGAGGAGCGTTTGGAAATTTATCATCAGGGTTATTCAAAGGGAATCTTGGGTTATGTGGTTTACCTAAGTTTGGAGTACCCTTGTGCCCTCAACCCAAGGGAAAGAAACTTGGACATAAGCACTTAGTTAAAGTATTGATTGTCATTCTTTCTGCAATGGTCGTTGCTACTGGTGTTGTAGTTATGGTTATCATTTGGTGTCGGAATAGGAAAGCATATAAGAGGAACAGTGAAAGGGAAGAATCATTTCCTTTAACTAAATGGAGGAGAATTTCCTTGCTAGAGCTTCAAAGAGCAACTAATGGATTTGAGGATTGCAACTTGTTGGGAAAGGGAAGCTTTGGTCGTGTGTACAAAGGGGAGTTAGCCGAAGGAATCAATGTAGCGGTGAAGGTGTTCAATGATTTGGAGGAAGAAGAGGAAGCCAATAATGGCATGGTTGATGTTCATCACGAATGTGAGATTTTGTGCAATCTTCGACATAGAAATCTGATCAAAATTATTAGCATCTGCTATACGATTGATTTCAAAGCACTAGTGTTGGAGTTCATGCCAAATGGAAGTTTGGAGAAGTGGCTATATTCTCACAACTTTTTCTTAGACATCTTTCGGAGGCTGGATATCATGATAGATGTTGCATGCGCCCTGGAATATCTCCACCACGGTTATTTTGTTTCGATAGTTCATTGTGATTTGAAGCCTGGGAATGTGTTGCTAGATGGAGATCTAGTTGCGCATCTAAGTGATTTTGGTATTTCCAAGTTCCTAGGCGGTGCTGATTCCATCACTCAAACATTGAAGTTGGGCACCGTCGGTTACATAGCACCAGGTATGCGTTAAAAAAACAAGATAAAACTCTTTGCATATTGTTGTTCGTGTGCAATTATCAGTGTATTACCCTGACGATGAAAATTACACATTTATTACAAGGAACCAAGTCTTTTTGATAGGGGTGAACTGATTTTATCAGTCTAAGGAAAGAAAAAAGAAGTTAATCACATACAAGGCACCAAGTCTTATTAAGACATAACTTGAGCATAAGTTGAGTAATTATCGCCTCCTCATGTTTAAGCATAAGGGGAAAATATGGATGGTTTGCTAGTAGAGACTAGTTTTAGTGTCATTTTGATATTTTTGTGCCATCCAATAACGGTTCACATATTTAACTTACTCATAATTGAGTCACTTTAAAACCAATCAATCATCCTTTGCATCATGTCATGGTTTAAAACAATTTACTTTGCATAATAGTAACTAGTTAAGCAAATTCTCAAATTGAGGGTCATAGAATTCAGGTTTGTTCTATTACTTCAAATCCTAAATCTATCCTTGTTTTGTGACTGCAGAGTTTGGCAGGGAAGGAATTGTGTCAATAAAGAGTGATGTGTATAGTTTCGGCATTTTACTAATGGAAGTTTTCACGAGAAGGAAACCAACTGAAGAATCATTTGATGAAGGAATGGACATGAAGCAATGGGTTTCAATGTTACTACCCGCAAGGGTGACTGAGCTTGTTGATGCAAATTTGTTGGCTAATGATGTTAGAATAAACTTCAAGACAAAAGTTGACTGCATGGAATCAATTATGAAGCTCGCATTAGCATGTTGTGCAGAGATATCAGAAGAGAGAATGGATATAAGAGAAGTGCTTTCCAATCTGAAGAAGATAAAGTCACAAATTTTGAAAGCGAGACACTTGAGAGTTTAAATAAAAATGAGTGAGTGGATAGTTACCATTCAAGTTGGAAGTATAATAATTTGGTGACAATAGTTAAGTAAAATTATGAATATTCATAGTATATGTAATTAGTGGTGGCAAATGAATTGGTTTCAATGGATTAATTGATTGGATGAGTGGATTAATGGATTAGATTCAATGGACTTTTGGACTCAATTATTGAATTTGTGGATTATACTCATGGATCCAAGTGACATCTAACTTGTGGCATTATGAAAATTTCAAAAAAATTAGGTAGTAGAATGTCATTCTAAAAAATTACGTCCATTTGGAGTATATTTTTCATTAAAAAATGAAAATTTGGGACTCAAATTATACAATATAAATAGACAGATACTATATTGTAATTTTTCAACAATTCATTAGTTGCGGGGGAAAAAATGTAAAGTTTAGGTATCATCATCAATGTGAAATTTTTTGCAATCCCTTGAGGCAAAAAACTATTTGAATTTATTAGCATGTGTCACACGAAAGATTTCAAGGTGTTAGTTGGAGTTAATGCCAAATGAAAGTTTGGTGAAGAAGTGACTATATTATCACAACTATTTTTGTGACATCTTTCTTATGTTGAACACCTTGATAGATGTTGCACTCTCTTTCAAGGCTCAAGTATCTAGTTACACATTAGTAATTTCGGCATTTTCAAGTTGCTAGGTGGCATTGTTTCCATCGGTTGAATATCGACCTTGACACCATTAAATACATAGCACTAGGTATTTGTTCAGAAACAAGATAAAGTTATATGTATATTGTCTCAATCATACCATTGAAATCCTTAACATTAAATTTATCTTAAAATATATTAAAGGACTTTAAGATTTTGAGGTTGTCCACGTAAGCCTTTCTGGAAATTTAACCTATCCACGTGGCCCCCAAAATTCGCTCATACGGCTCTCTCTTTATCCTCCTTTATTAAAAAACCTTATTCTCAGACTTCTCTTACCATTCACCGCTAATTTTCATTCTTCCCAAGTCTGCAAAACTTTATCTCCGAGTCTCCAATGTCGAGAAAACGAGAAACCTACAACTACCAACTTCAAAGCAATGAATCATCGGCCAGCGCCCACCGATGCCCAGTCGACTGATGCCCTTTGATTTCACAGTCCGCTCTGTGACGATTAATCGCCAGAGATTGAATCCCCTCTGATCAACATATCGCTACAATCTTCCCTAATCCCTTCCCCCTCCCTCTAGACTGAGATCCATCCCAAAGAAGCATTAGCGAATCGGTTGAAATTCCGCGGTGTAGTCTTGAGTGTTCGGGGGAAAATTGTACCGGAGTTAGAGTCGGCAGATATGGGGGAGTACTTAAGATAATATCTGTATCGGCAGAAGCAGAGGCGAAGAATTGCATATGCGGACAGAAAAAGAATCTGACGATGGAGATTACGGCAACATCTACACGGTGCTACGGACGGTAGGGGAATCACCGGCCAGCTGAAACTCTGCCCTTTGACAAAATCCTTTATCTTTCAATTTTAGATTAATTATCGTAATAGATAATCACCATGATTTAATTTTTTATATCGATCCTGGTATAAAGCTGTTGTTTTGGTTTATTGCACTAATGATGAATAAAAATTTATGGGATGCGTTAGTTTAATAACCCACTGTGATTGAACTTAGAATTTGATATTATATATTCATTCATGTAACATGTAAACTATGGTATATTTTTTAGTGTTCTAATTGGCCAATCTAAATATAAAATTCTACAACGAGACTTTCTACATCTTCTTGGAGGTCATGAATAAAAAGTAGGCAAAATTGAACTATTATATGTGTATGTAATAGATATTAGTATACGCTTTTGATATGTGTTGTATATGATAGAGTAGTAATTGAATGACTTAGAAATATGTATCATTTAAATCAAGTGCTGAAAACCATTATTTGAATGTCGACTATTAGTTTGAAAATATATGTTACTTAGTCATGATGAATTCTAATTTCTACGAATAAAAGCGCTCCGTCTTTCTCGGAGCTGAGCAAGGAAAAAAGCGCAAACCCTAGCGGCGGAATCCGCCGGCATGGCCGGCTCTGTGCCGGAAAACACTCCCCCGGCGACCCAACAGCTGGATCCCAGTGCGGGTCAACGACGTCCTCCCACCGCGTCGTCGTCCCCAAACAGCAAAGGTGAGAAAGAAACCCAGCAGCCGAAGAAGAAAGTGAGACCCATGAACGTCAACCCGCTTTTTGAAACGCAACCGATGGCGGAGGACCAGCCAGATACGCAGGTCCCCAACGGGAACGAGAACACAACAAGGTATGGCAAAGAGAAGGAAGCGAACCCCTGGACAGCGGCCGGAGGAAGTGGAGCACGAAAACTTTTCTCGACGGTAGTGGCTGAGGACGAGTGGTACATAGCGGAGTCCGACTCGGAGGATGTTGCGGAGGCAATGAGAGAAGATGACCTGGATGACGAAATTCCGGAGGATGACGATCCGACGTGCCCAACGATCCCTTTCAAGGCCCTGGAGAAACAAAGGTATCGCAGGACCTGGCGCTCGTCACTCATTATCAAAGTGTTGGGTCGCACGTTCCCCTTCCCAATAGTGTCAAAACGACTGGAAGCGCTCTGGGCTAAGACGGGCAACATACAGATCTCTAGCTTATCATATGGTTTTTAAGTTGTTCGTTTTAAGAATGAGATGGACTACGTTCAGGCGGCCATGGGAGGTCCATGGATGATCGGCAATCATTACATCACGGTGCGGCCATGGAGGAAGGGCTTTGACCCTAAATCCGCAGAGGTAGCCACTACTCTTGTTTGGGCTCGCCTCCCGGAGCTGCCGATCGAGTTCATCAACCGAGAGGCCGTGGAAAGAATAGCAACGAGGATTGGACGTCCAGTCCGTGTAGACCGAGCCACGACGTCGGGTGCTCGAACCATGTTTGGGCGAGTTTGTGTAGAGGTGGACCTTACTAAGCCCCTTTTGGGACAATACAAGATTGAGGGAATGACGTACTATGTGGAATACGAGGGACTCCATAACATTTGCACTGAGTGTGGAGTCTATGGGCACTCGAAAACCAGCTGTCCGACGTTGAGGAAAGAAACCCCGGAGACGACGGAACCACCACCTTCCGCAACCCCACCTGTTGACCAACAGAAGAAAGCATATGGAGAGTGGATGACGGTGAAACTGAAGAACAAACAATCCGGGGTAAAGAGGATGCATGGCAGGGACCAACCGCTCTCAAGCTTGCATGGGAACAGTGACATGCATCATACGGGTTCCAGGTTTGCAACCCTGGAAGTCGAAGACTCGACACCAATGGAGGAGGAGGAGGAAACTATTGGGGTACAGCCTCATGCCACTCCCCTTGCTCCGGCTACAACACCTGAGCAACAATCCCAACTGGAGAACACCATGTCAACCTGCACCCCACCAGGACTTTCGAGTGGCCAGAGTCTCGTTCGTGACAGAGCCGGCTCCTCTTGGGACGGTGGCTCATCAGAAGCAAGGAGGCCCAATCACGAGCCTGGTGGAAGTCCCCGTTCAGCAAGTGGTTCAGGTCGAAAGCAAAGGAGTGGAAGTCCACAATTTCAACTCGTTGGCGGGAAAAGGATCATTGAAGAAAGGGGGGAATAACAAAACCCTCACTCAACTTAAGGGCCCTTCCAACGAACGAGGAACTCCCTCCCTTCAGGGACGCAATTCCGAGAGTAAACCCCGAAGTACTACTACTAGTACCTCTGAGAAGATGAAGGTGGGAGGGAAGCCTCCTACGAGTCTGGCGGCGGCGTAACCGGGCGTGGCCCGTCCCCAGGGGAGTTCCCTCCTCTTGTTAGTTGTGTTTTCCCAATTTTATTTGTGTTATTATGTTAAACATTTTCTCATGGAACTGCCAAGGGGCAGGAAGTGACCAGTTTCTTGTTTATCTGCGTAATTTTTGTGCCTCTTCAAGGACGGATTTGGTGATAATTGTAGAACCACGTATTAGTGGGGATACAGCTAGGGAAGTAATCCGCAAAACGGGTTACGATGGGAAACTAATTGTGGACGCGGTTGGTTTTTCAGGTGGCATATGGGTGATGTGGCATCGCCATATTGTTCAGGTGACGGAGATAACCCAATGGGAGCAGATGATCCACTTCACCTTTACCAGACATGGCATGAGAGGTGAGGTGGCGGTGTCGGCAGTTTACGGCAGCCCTAACACGGCTCTTCGACAAAATTTGTGGGAGGAGATTGGTCGCCTCGCTAGTGGGATGTCTTTACCTTGGGTTCTTATTGGAGACTTTAACTCCATTCTGGGGCCGACAGATAGGTGTGGAGGAGTTCCCTATCAGGAAGCTCGGACAAGACCCTTCAGGAGATGTGTTGACACTAATGGCTTGTTCGATATTAACTTCACAGGCCCACGATTCACCTGGCATCGAGGCAATCTCAGGCAACGCCTCGACAGAGCTCTCTGTAGTAAGGCATGGATGACAAGGTTTCCTCGGACGGCAACGAGACATCTCGAAATGGTGGGCTCGGACCATAGGCCGATTCTTTTAATGGGAGATATGCGAGCTGCCAACTCGGGGCCCAAACCATTTCGCTTTCTTGCAGCATGGTTGACTCATGAGGATTTCGGTCGCGTTCTTGAAGATCACTGGCCTCGAGGAGAGAACTTCCGCCAATCGACTAGCGTGCTAACCGACGAGCTACAAAGCTGGAACAAGTTGACTTTTGGTCACATCCTCCGACGAAAACGTCTTCTTGTACGGAAGCTAAGGAAGTTGGAAGAAGAGAACGAGCGTGGAGGCACCCCCCAATTACAGGAAATGGAGAGGGAAGTTCGCCAGGAACTTGAATCCACCCTATGGCAAGAATATCTCATTTGGTTTCAAAAATCAAGGGCGCAATGGGTAGCTGAGGGCGATAAGAACACCCGATATTACCACCTATCGACGCTGAAGAGGAGGAGCTTCAATCAGATTCGTGGCCTAAAGGATGACCAGGGGAAGTGGGTTTTTGATGAAGCGGACCTGTGTAGGATGGCCAGGGAATTCTATGCCGCCCTCTTCCTGGCCGAGTTTGGCCCAGCTCCCGAGCTCCCAGCGATGTTCACAGCAATCGCAGCGGACGCAGGGGATTATCTCCAGTCCGGAATCACAC